TAGGCTATGTTCGTTTAATATGGTTCTTGTCATTTCTTGTAAGTTTTTATTTTTTCTTTTTACTATCCTATTTTGTTGAGGATTTCTCGGAGTTGAGAAATTATGATTGTATCCATTAGATTCACAAAAGTCTTAGAAATCATGATTTTAAAATTCACCACTGTGATCACTTCGAATTGATGAAATCATAAAACCCTTTCCATTTTGAACAAGTTTACAAAACTTAGAAAAATACCTAAAGCAATCACTTTTGTGTGCCAAAAGGTAAGTCTATGTGTATCTACTATAATTATCCATGATAACAAAGGCGTATTTGCTATCTCCTAGGCTTAATATAGCAATTAGTCCGAACAAATCCATATGGATCAATTGCAATGGTCTAGAAGTGCTTATTTGGTTCTTTAGATTGAAACTACCTTTTATTTATTTTCCTAGTTGACATGCATCACACACATTATCTTTAATGAACTTAATGTGAGGAATTCCTCTTACAAGTTCTTTAGATAAGATTTGAGAAATTAGTTTCATGCTAGCATGACCTAATCTCTTATGCCAAAATCAAGCATCATCATTCAAAACTGAAAAACATATTTCATTACAAAGATCATTAATGTCGATAGTGTATACATTATTTTGTTTTAGGGCAATCATAGATGTGTTTTGTGTAGTTTTTCAATAATGCAAGCATTGGATTCAAATCTAGCGATGTATCCTTTATCACACAATTGACTAATGCTCAAAAGGTAATGCGTTAAGCCATCAACCAATAACACATCTTCAATAAAGAAGTTGGATTTGTTATCTATGGTTCCTTTGCCAATAATTTTACCCTTGTTGTTGTCTCCGAAGGTGACATATCCTTCGTCTATGCTAGTGAGCTTATAGAATTGAGATGGATCTCCGGTCATATGCCTTGAGCATCCACTATCTAAGGTACAATCTCTTCTTCTTTGGTTACTTCTTCTTGGCTAGGGGACATTCACTCTTGTAATGTCTCGGCTTCTTGCATTGGTAATATATTACTTGATCTTTCTTGGATTCAAATATATTTTTAGTGTCATTTTCAAATTTATTCATTTTTATAAATTTTTTAAATTTTTTTTATTAAGAGTGCTAAGTCATCATCAAGGTCCTCATCACTTTATTTTCTTTCAAATGATCTTCTTGAGTTCTTAGTGTCATATCCTTCCTATTCTTTAGAAAGTTGTTCTCAAGCTCTTCATGAGCATTACACGTCATTTCATAGGTCATTAGCGACTCGATTAGTTCTTCGAGAGGAAAGTTATTTAAGTCCTTGGCCTCTTAAATGACCATTATTTTAGAGTCCCAACTCTTTGGAAGGGATCTTAAAATTTTATTAACAAGTTCCAAATCCGAGAAACTTTTACCAAGTCCTTTTAGACTATTAATGACATCCGTAAATCGGGTGTACATATCTCCAATGGTCTCACTTGATTTCATCCGAAACAATTCATAAGTTTGCACTAAAAGATTAATTTTTGACTCCTTCACTCTACTAGTGCCTTCATGAGTCACTTTGAGTGTGTGCCAAATATCAAAAGTCGTTTCACAAATAGACACACGATTGAACTCGTTTTTATCTAAAGTACAAAATAAGACATTCATAGCCTTGGTGTTTAAAGCGAAAGTCTTCTTCTCCAACTCATTCCAATCGTTCATTGGAAGAGAAGACTTTTGAAACCTATTTTCTACAATATTCTATAATTCAAAATCCATTGAAATTAGGAAGATCCTCATTCTACTCTTCTAATATGTGTAATTCGTCCCATTGAATATGGGCAGATGTGTAATTGAATGACCCTCGTGGTTGCCAGCAAATACCATCTCTATTGGGTTTTAAACCAAATGAGAGTAAACCTTA